AGGAATCGGTGGATGCACCGACGCCAGATGGAACCGCAAGAGAAGCCTCATAAGCCGAACAACCACATGATGATGGACGGTTCTCTACGATTTACGAGGAATGGGAGGTTGACTTCGAGTCACATGTTATGGAAGGGCGGCATGCAGAACTGGAGACAACTCCACCAGAGGACCTCTCTACCATGCCCACACAGATGGTTCCATATCAAAGTGTGCTAATCACTGTCGCGGATGAACAGCGGGGGCACCTGCCTAAGTGGGGGCGCGCTTGCGACTCCGACACCGAGGAGACGTACTAGGTCCCAGTGTGTGCCATGGTCGAAGACTACAACTACGGACTGGACTCATAAGAGAATGGTCAAAGTGTCGAACTCTGCTTCTCGGCAGAAATGTCAAAGGTAGTCCTGTCCGGACAACAACACATGATACTAGATGCCGACCGTGTGACCACTGTGCGAGTATACGTTACCGCCGCTGCATTGCGAGCCTTGGTCGACAAGGGAGACGACCTCCTCGCAGCAGCTGGCAGCCAGGCGAATCCCGATAAGGCGTCGAAGGCGTCTACACTGAACTCAATACATGGTTCGACAACAAGTGTTTCAAGATGCGAGATATAGCTAAAGCGTCGAACGCCATGACTTCGAGGTAGGTGTGCAACTGGAAGTTTGTGAAGAACGAGAAGGGCGAGATGGATCGTACTATCGCGTTGCGCCTGGTACACCGAGGCCTCATGGACCTTGAAACCTTCGACGTAGAAGCCTTTTCGGGAACGGCGCGACGGTCGAGCCAGAGGCTACTCGCTAGCACGGCAGCGTGCAAGAAGCAATGGGTTAGTGCTTCCCTCCACATCAACATGGCCTTCCTGAAGGGGTTGACCTATCAGGGACTTGCTGAGGCTACGGGTGAAAATGAACGTGTGGTGTGTTTCACTCTGCCGCATGGATCGGCCACAGTGCTTCGAACTCTCCCAGGATTCGAACACTACGACGAGTCAAAGCATTGCTTGCAGCGCGTGAAACCAGGCACAGGCACCGAAGACGCACCGCGAGCTTTCTCGCTGAAGCTCAGAAGGACCACCGGAGGATTTGGTCTCCGACCCACGTCCTGCGACGAGGAGTTCGAGACGAGCAGCAAGCTGCTCACGGCCGAACAAGCTGGTGATATCAATATGGCCGGTACTGAGGCCACCATGGACAAGGCTGTCAGATGCGTAGAAGACACTTTTGGTGTGTAAACTCAACAAACACACATCCACCAACTGTGCTGTGATATATACCAAGGATGAGGACGGTAATGTCACTTTGGACCAAGGTGGATGCATAGAGCAGCTCCGTCCTATGCAACGCTCAGACATCCAAGATGGTTGCAGACATGTTCGTCGTTTTCAGGGGCGCGCTAGCGTGTGCATTAATCACCCAGGTGTGGTTGATGGTGGATGTTGTATCTCTACAGCGTGTCCAAGAACCGACCGACATCCATGTGCGACGACTGGGCGCGATCACCAGGGAGCTGCAGGCCTGCCCCAAGAAGATCGCCTACCAGGCGATGACCCCCACGGGCGAGGTTCACCTGCACAGCGACTCAGGATACCGACGCCTGAGTGGAGACACTGATGAGACGTCGAAGGCTATGGCATTCGCGGGGCAAGCCTGCTACGACGTGGAAACACGTCATTCGGTAAACCTGTCGTTCACATGATCGATGCGCACTGCAAGTCTCACCGCTTGCAGGTCCGCTCGAGTTATTCAGCAGAGACACCAGTGGCAGTTCATAATTTGGAGGACTGTTATCCCACGACTGTGACTCTGTACGAGCTCCACGCAGGGCCACTCACGCCTACTCAGTTGACATATATACTTGAGCTGGGTGGCCTGATCATCAAAGTCACTCTGACCATAGATGATGAGTGTGTCTTTAAGTCCTTGTCAAGCAAAGACTTGAAGAAGCCGACTGAGTGTACCCTTTTAGGACACATCTTTTGGGTACGACAGATGATAGAGCGTGGAATCGTGCGCAGTATTCGGTGGTGCAACACCCGCGACATGACTGCGCATGGCCACACCAAGGGGAGCATCGGCAGAGAAATGCTCCTACAAGTCATGGGAGGTATACAGGCCTTCAAACATGACCTGAAGAGTCATACTCCATATCGGGCCGGCCAGACATCTAGTTCTGACGCCGCCTGAGGAGTACTTGAAGTACAGAACTGTACAAGCAAGGCAACTTGCGAGCGGGTCCACCTTCCTTCAGGCCCGCCCCTTTGTCTGCTCGTGTATATATTAGTTGCTGTGCCTGCTGTATAGGGGCGACGGGCTCGCGCTTCGTCTCTCCCCCCCCGACTCTACAGCGAACTGAGGGGCGTAAGGGGCGGAAGCGAGCGTGCGCCCGCGGCCGCGTCGGCTCAAGCGGCCGGCCGCCCAAACATGATTGTGCCTCATCGCGAGGCACCCGATTGCTATCCAGACCAAACGGATTTTCCTATTGCTTAAGATGGCACGTCCTCTCCTGCTGGGACTATCGCTATCACGGTACAACAGCAGGAGCTTGGCTTCGCCTAGGGCGAAGCTGCTGGCTGGGCCTCCCAGCCCCCTTCAAACTCCTGCATGCGTCAACCGCCACCCAGCACAGCGTTTCTTTGCCATAAGGGAGCTCCACCGAAGGCCCCAGTGGCACGGCCCGCATGCGTCAACGCCACGCAGTACAGCGTTTCGTGGCCCCATAAGGAGCCCAACCAACCGAAGGCCCCCGTGGCACCGCCTGCATGCGTCAACGCCGCCCATGGCAGCCTTTCGTGGCCCGAGAGGGGGCTCCACCGAATGCCCCAGTGGGACCTCCCGCGTGCGTCAACGCCACCCAGTACAGCGCTTCGTGGCCCAATAGGGAGCTCCACCGAAAGCTCCACTGGCACAGGCCGCGTGTGTCAACGCCACCCAAGACAGCGTTTCGTGGCCCCATAGGGACGTTCACCGAAGCCGGTACCCACAACGCGGTACACGCAACTGCATATGGTTGGGTCCTTCGTCAGGGTAATTGTCATTGCGGTGTATGTTGGGATGCCTGGGCGCCGGCTTGCAGCAATATCGGAACCTCTGGCGACGACGGCTGGTAATCGGGACGTCATTCATGAGGAGGAGGAGGAGGAGGAGGAGGAGGAGGAGGAGGAGGAGGAGGAGGAGGAGGAGGAGGAGGAGGAGGAGGAGGAGGAGGAGAGGGAGGAGGAGGAGGAGGAGGAGGAAGGAGGAGGAGGAGGAGGAGGAGGAGGCGTGGGGGGTGGACGTATCGACCCCCAATCGTCGAGTGATTGCTGGTAGGGGCCCGATGGCCCCAACCTGCCCAGCAACGTTCGGACTCGACGTCCGGGGCCTGGGCGCCGACCTGGAGCCATATCGGAACCTCAGGCGACGACGGCTGGTAATCGGGACGTCAATCATAAGGCATCGGGGATCGTGGTTTCGGGGGCGTGAACATGGCGTCGGGAATGCGAACCGGGCGTAATCTACTAGGATTGGGGCTTCGAGGGCGCGAATCTGGAGTAATTTGCAAGGGATCTTGTCCCCGGGGACGCGACTCCAGCGTAATTCAATAGAGTCGTGGCGTCGGGGGCGCGAATGTGGCGTAACTTGGAGGGAATCAAAGCGAAGTGGCCGCAGACTTCGCGCGATTTAGATGAGACTGGGGCCTCGCGAGCGCGGACGCATTATGATCCTAGACGCTGCGCGTAACCCCACCACGGATTTGCTGTCTTGGGTATACGACAGTTGCTGTCCTTCGAGCGCTTTCCTCGACTTGGCTGCGTGGGTCGCATGGCGCTGCCGTCACTTAGTCGTTTGGTGCACGCCCACCTCCGATTGACCGTGCGTCCCTCACCTGGTGGGTACTCGTGTACTCCTGCACTGCGGCACACCAGACCTCTGGTCTCCTGCGCGCAGGCGCATCTCTCAGCAGTTGTTCGGCGTTTGCCTTAGCCGGTTTGGCCTCAGGCTCACCCTATCTGCCGCGGATGCGTTTTCTGAAGCTGCGACGGTTCGCTGGCGCTGTCAGAATCCCCATCCTTGCTGGACGACGTCAGCCAGCTTCGGTCTGCTCATACCCGTCAGACTCCCTGGACTGACTTTCTCGCACGGAGTTTGGTTCCCACCACCACGCGGTTGTCGCTTGTCACGACCACGACTGGGAACGTACGGCGCGCCATTTTGGCCGCGCCTGGCTTGCTCCTGGGTGACTGACCCCTCAGACTCCCTGGGTTGCAGCTTGCACGACCGCCTTGGGTGACTGACCCCTCAGACTCCCTGGGTTGCAGTTTGCACGACCGCCTGGCCTCTCAGACGCCCTGGGTTGCTGCCCACCCCCCGCCGCCTGATCCGCGGCCTCCGCGCGCGCCCGGGAATTCGTCACGGCCGCAGCCCGACCGTGACTGCTCGCCGCCGGCGCTTCCGCCTGCGGCTGTAAAGAAAAAGTACCCCCACCAGCCCGTCCAGAGACGATGCCTAGGCGAGTTGCCCTGATCAAGGGTGTGGAGAAACAAGCGGTGGAATCTGGAGTTGGGGAAGTCGTCGTACTCCAGGATGGGGAGGATGAAGGAGGAACCGATGGAGGAAAGGCAGTGGGAGGGGACGGAGGAGGGACGAGGAGGAATAGACGGATGCGAAAGAGGAGGGTGTCGAGGACGTTGAGGAGGGCCAGCAGAATGGCCAGAGGCCTCTTGGATGCCTCTCGGAGTCTTTTCGGATGTCCCTCGAGAGCTTCGGTGGGTCCTTTCGAAGCGTCTCGGGGGCCTCTGAGCGGTCCTGGGGGCCTCAAAGTGCGTCTAGGGTGCCTCGGGGGGGCCTCGGGGTGGCCTCAGGGGAGCCTCTTGGGGGTCTCCTGGAAGACTCTTGGGACCTCCTGGGTGCCTCTTGGGCGCCTCTCGAGACCCTCTTGGGGCACTCTTAGGAGCGTTTGTGGCCATCTTGGGGCGATCTTGGAGGAGTTCGACCACAGAAAGGGAGGTCCAATTTTAGGCCCCCCGCAGGAGGCTGAAATGGGCCCAACAGCTTTGCTTCTCGCCCTCCGTACCCTTTTTGGCGCAAGGCTGGGTCAAGGGAGGCCCGCGGAAGCGCTTCTGCCTACTTGCTCGCTCGAACGTTCTTTCGGGACTGGTGGCTTTGTCCAGCGTTGAACGGAATATCATTGACGGGTATGAAGCTCAGCACCGCATTTGTTGCCATGGCCAATGCCGTCATGGCGTCGGATCTTCCCGATGTTCTTCCAGAGCTCAATAGCTTCATGGACATTGCCTGGCCAAAGTGGGAAGTCGACGATGATTGTAATCGCCTGGAGACCAAGCCTTGCTCCGCGGATTCGTGTGAGTGGAATCCTTGCTATGTTACGGCGATGTACGACGGTCTCCATCCCGACTACGGCGGCCATCCAACCGAAAATGACGTCAAGTATTATTTCTATGCGGCGGCTCCGTTCGACGGCCAGCCCTACGGAGGCACGGCTCAGCACTGCGAGTTGGATGCGCCTGACGACGTCAAGAAAGTAGACTGTCCCAAAATCGAGACCTTGACCGACGACGGACCAAATGGACCAGGCCATATCCCCCCTCACATTGCTCTCTATTCATTTAAGTGGGCAGTCGAGGCGAAGCTGTATGCACTCGGAGACATGTTCGAATACGACGACTGGGAATGTAAGGTAAATCCGAACATCCTGCTCAAAATGATTCGTCACTACTTCCCGCGGACCGAAGGCGAGAAAGTTGCCTACCCAGCACCCTACACGGAAGCAGGCGGCTCATATCCGTACGAATTTCCAGCAGGCAGGGGATTGGGAAACCAGACACCGCCTTACGAGCCCGGATCTGCTCATTGGTGTACCGATGATTTCTTGGCCACGGGATTACCGACGGCGTTTTGCCCCTACATTTTTGAAGGCCCCGATAAAGGCCAGTACCGCCACCCTCACATTGCATTCGCTGCGCTCCAGAATTACCTTGCGAATCTTGCAATGCCTGACAAGTGTTCCGAGATTTGGCTGGAGAACAACCCCGATTTCCTCAGTTCTGATCGTATCACTACCAAGAAGGCCTTCCCGAAGATGTCAAACGACGACGCTGACAACAAGACGTTTTTGAATTGGATTGGCCAGCCTGACCTTCCTTGGTCTTATGACCCTGGCAGTGCGAAGAACGCCGAGGTGATGCTTGCTACTGTTACTCGCGGTTACCTGACATTTGACGGCTCCGTTGGACTCGTGGCCAGTGGAGCCGTTGCTGCCGCCCCACTTGGCGCTGCTTTGATCGGGTGCGTCATTTTCCTGGCCGATTAGGACTGCAACTGCAGTGAATGGCGCGTGGAATGGTCGGCAAGTGACTCGGCAAGGACGATACTCGCTCCTGCCAGTTTTTTTTTTGTTTGACTGAACACTCGCAACGAGAGTGCCTGGGAATCACAATACACGGAACTTCATGTTCCTTGTTATGAATTTAGGTTATCAAGCTTCTTCTTGGCCGGTGCTGTCGCATTGATCGCCTTGTCACATGGCGGGTCATATTGCCGCAGCAGTGTTTGACTGCCTCTCATCCAAAAAAGGCGTATCTTGCCGTTCCGTAGGGTGTGTGTGTGTGTCTTTGGGGTGGGTGGGGTTCTGATTTTTGTCTGTGCCAGCCTATCCTCGACTTTCCAAGCCTGGGGGGAATATTGTCGGCGGAACTTTGGTCACCTAACCTGCAGCGGTTCGGAGGCCTTTGCCTCGGAGAGGTGGCGGACAAATCGTGCCCCCCCCCCGTCCAGAATTCGGACTCCTGTTTTCTGGTGAGATTTTCCCCTACCCGAGTTGAAAGAACAGCTCGGGTGAGCGGAGAACGGTTCCCCGTTTTCCCGCGCCGGCTTTATAGAGTAGCAGTCTGGACGGGCCTCGGTTTTTCGGCAGTGTGCGCAGAACGTTCCAAGGGGTCTTGGCTAAGGAGGCGCAGAGACAGTGTAGTTTACGAGAGATTGTGGCCCTGCAGGCGCGGACACACTATAATGTACGATGGCTTGCCCTGGGAGCGCGGACGCAGCGTAATTTATAAGGGATCGTGGCCCTGACGGCGCGAACCCAATCTGATTTACAAGGGATCGTGGCCCTCGGAGCGCGAACCCAGCATCATTATCGAGGGATCGCGGCCTTGGATGCGCGAATCCTTGGCAATTGCAAGGGATCGCGGCCCTGGGAGCGTGAATTCTGAAATTTGCGAGGGACCGTGGCCTTGAGAGCGCGAATCCAGTGTAATGCGCGAGGGATCGCGGCCGTGGGCGCGCGGACGCAGCGTAATTTGTAAGGATTCGCTGCTTCGGGTCCAGCGCTTGATTTTTAGGAAATGGCGGGGCGGCCTGAAGCGCTCCCCGAACAGGTAGGTGCCCTGTCGGGCACCCTCTGCGCGGTGCTTCGTGACCCTGGGAGCGCGGACGCAGCATAGTTTGCGAGGGATCGTGGCTTTGAGAGCGCGGAAGCAGCGCAATTCACTAGGGATCGTGGCCTTGGGAGCAGGTGCGCGGTGTAATCTGTAAGGGATCGTGGCACTTGGAGCGCGAACCCAGCGTAATCTACGATGTATCGTGGTCCTGTGAGCGCGAACCCCTTGTGTTTTGCAATGGGTCGCGGCCCCGGGAGCGCGAATTCAATCTATTCATTATGGATCGTGGCCCTGAGGGCGCGGCCACACCGTAATTTACGAGTGATGGTTGCCCGTGGAGCGCAAAACCCCGCGTGATTCACGAGGGATCGTAGCCCTGGGAGCGCGAACCCATCGTAACTTGCTAGGGAGCGTGGCCATCGGAGCGCGAACCCAGCATACCGTGCGAGGAATCGTGGTCCTTGGAGCGCAGAGGCATCGCAAGTTCACGAGTGATCGCGGCCCTGGTGGCGCGGACGCAGCGTAACTTTCGCGGGGCCGTGGCCCTGGGAGCGCCAGCCCCCCGCGTACTTTACAAGGGATCATGGCCTTGGGAGCGCGACTCGGGCATACGTTGCGAGGGATCGTCGCGCTGGGAGCGCGAACCCGGCGTAGTGTACGGGGGAAGATCGTAGCCCTGGGAGCGCGGAGGCAGCTCAACTCGGTGCTCGCGGCCCTGGGAGCGCGGGCGCAGGGCGATCCACGAGCGGCCGCGGCCTCGGGAGCGCGGCCCGCCGCCGTGCGTTCGTTTCTGGGTCCGTCGCGCGTGGCTCCTTTCTGGGTCTGCAGGGTTTGGGTGTGTGTGAGGGTCTGGGGGGGTCGCCACCCACCAAGCCACCCCAACCCAACCCGAAGGCTTAAATTTGACCTCCGTTTCCAGTGTGGGGGGGGGGTCGGGGAACATTGAAATTAGCTTGACGGAGGACCCAATCAGATGCAGGTGTGAGTACCGCAATTGTGATTCACTTTTTCGGTGGTGATCCCTACGAGGCAACGAACCGTGCTAGGATGTGCCGAAATGAGTGGCGTGGTACACAACGCGAACGAAAACGATTGATCTGAGTACGTAGGGAGGCTGAGCGCGGGTGAATCTGAGCGCGAGTGCGTCTGATTGTGAATGAATCTGCGTGCGAGCGAGTCTACGCGCATGAGTGCGAGTATGACAAAGCATGGTGTAATTGTACATGAATGCCAATACTTTGAGAATGACTGCCTCTGAGTAATCGTGACGCTGGGCGTGGCCGCCGCAAGGAGCTTCCCCTGGACTCCCCGACGGCATCGCCCGCGCGTCGCGACGCCAATTTCGGCGCGCCTCCCCGCGAAGATCGCGCCCGCTTTCTCCCCTTTTTTTACTCCCTCGTTGCCCGCGCACTCAAAAGTACAAGGCTGCGGGCGCAGCGCAGCGCGGAGTCCCCGCGACGCGCGCAGGTCGCCCCGGAGAGGTCCCAGCGACGCGCGCGGGTCGTCCGTTGTGCGGAGCACAGGGAGCTAGTTGGCTGGCTGATAACGGGCAAGGCTCTTGCCGCTGGGCAGATCGACGACGGGCGAGCGAGGCGCTGGGCAGGACGCAGCGCGGAGTCCCCGCGACGCGCGCTGGTCGCCCCGGAGGGGTCCCAGCGACGCGCGCGTGTCGTCCGCTGCGCCGAGCAAAGAGAGCTAGCTGGCTGGCTGATAGCGGGCAAGGCTCTTGCCGCTGGGCAGCGCGACGACGGGCGAACGAGGCGCTGGGCAGAACGCAGCGCGGAGTTCCTGCGACGCGCGCTGGTCGCCTCGAAATGAATGGCGGGGACGCATGCGGACTGCCACGGGGACCTTCGGCGGAACTCCCTATTGGTCCACGAAGCGTGTGAGGGGTGTGCCAAAATGAGTGGCGGGGACGCATGCGGACTGTGCCGCGGGGACCTTCGGCGGAGCTCGAGGCGTGTGCCGAAATGAGTGGCGGGGACGCATGCGGACTGTGCCACGTGGACTTTCGGCGGAGCTCCTGTGGGGCCACGAAGCGTGTGAGGGGTGCGACGAAATGAGTGGCGGGGACGCATGCGGACTGTGCCACGGGGGCCTTTCGGCGGAGCTCCTATGGGGCCGCGAAACGTGTGAGGGGTGTGCCGACATGGGTGGCGGGGACGCATGCGGACTGTTCCACTGGGACCTTCGGCGGAGCTCCTATGAGTCCACGAAACGTGTGAGGGGTGCGCCTGAATGAGTGGCGGGGGCGCATGCGGGCTGTGCCACGGGGACCTTCGGCGGAGTTCCTGTGGGGCCACGAAGCGTGGGAAGGGTATGCCGAAATGAGTGGTGGGGACGCATGCGGACTGCGCCACTGGTACCTTCGGCGGAGCTCTTATGGGGCCACGAAACGTGTGAGGGGTGTGCCGAAATGAGTGGCGGGGAGGCATGCGGACTGTGCCACTGGGACCTTCGGCGGGGTTCCTATTGGGCCACGAAGCGTTTGACGGGTGTGCCGAAATGGTTGGCGGGGACGCATGCGGACGGTGCCACGTGGACCTTCGGGGGAGCTCCTGTGGGGCCACGAAACGTGTGAGTGGTGTGCCGAAATGAACGGCGGGGACGCATGCGGACTGCCACGGGGACTTTCGGCGGAGCTCCTGTGGGGCCACGAAGCGTGTGAGGGGTGCGCCGCAATGAGTGGCTGGGACGCGTGCGGACTGTGCCACTGGGACCTTCGGCGGAGCTCTTATGAGGCCACGAAGCGTGTGAGGCGTGTGCCGGAATGAGTGGCGGGGACGCATGCGGACTGTGCCACTGGGACTTTCGGCGGAGCTCCTGTGGGGCCACGAAGCGTGTGAGGGGTGCGTCGAAATGAGTGGCGGGGACGCATGTGGACTGTGTCACGGGGATTTTTGGCGGAGCTCCTATGGGGCCACGAAGCGTGTGAGGGGTGTACCGGAATGGTGATGATGACGCCGATGATGATGACGATGCCGATGATGATGATGATGATGGTGATGATGATGACGATGATGGTGACGATGATGATGATGATGGTGATGATGATGATGATGATTATGATGATCATGATGATGATGATGGCAATGATGATGCTGATGATGATGCTGATGGTGTTGATGAGAGGAGGGGAAGAGGAAGGAGGGGCGGATACGCGGGGACCGTTTCTTCAAAACGAGGACCCAACACCACAGCATGGTTCGGAACAAACACATGGAATCCGTACCCCCAACCCGAAATTCGGGTCACATTCGAGTCTTCGGGTTGGTTTGGCGTGGTTTGGCAGGTAGTCAGGGGTGGGGTCTGTCCTCTCCCCCGCCCGCTCCTGTCTACCTTCTGCGTGCATTCGGGGTACCTTCGCTGCTTTTCACGCGCGCACCTCCGTCGGACCTTCGGCGTACTTCCAGTAACACGCTCTTATGAAAAGCAATGCAGAAACCGCTTGCCTTCAGCGTACCTTCGGCGTACCTTCAAAGAGTGTGTCCGACATACCTTCGGTGTCCGACATACCTTCGGAGTACCTTATATTCATCTTGGCACTCCGAGCGCGAACCACGCGTAATTGTACGAGGGGTCGTGGCTCTGGGAGTGCTGGCGCTGCGTAATTTACGAGGGATCGTGGCCTTGGGGGAGCGGGCGCAGCATCACTTACTAGCGATCCTGGCACTGGGGGTGCGTGCCCAGCGGCATTTGCTATGGACCGTAGCCCAGGGAGCGTGGACGCAGCGTAATGTACGAGGGATCGCGTGGCCCCTGACATCCCGGCTAATAATGTGGCGTGGAGATCCTAGGAGGCTCCAGGTAATCCGCGGCGCGTCCCTTGGCGCGTCTCTGGCGCGTCCCGTGTCGCGTCCCGTGGCACGGTCCTTGACGCGTCCCTTGGCACGTCCCCTGGCGCGTCGCCTAGTACGTTCCCTGGCACGTTCCGTGGCGCGTCCCGTGGCGCGTTCCCCGGGTACGTCGCGCGGCGCGTCTCCCGGCGCACGTCCCGTGGCACGTCCACTGGCACGGTCCGTGGCGCGTCCTCTTAGCACGTCCCGCGGTGCGTCCACTGGCGCACGTCCCCTGGCACGTCTTTTGGCGCGTCCCTTGGCGCATCCCTTGGGACGTTCCGCGGCGCTTCCCCCTGGCATGTTCCTTGGCGCGTCCCGTGGCATGTCCCTTGGCGCGTCCCCTGGCACGT